TTCAAATATTAATTCCTTAATTAAATTTAATTAATTAATTTTAGGTTTATATGGGAGAAAAAATTAAATTTGTGCCGAATGAAGGCAATAGATGACTACAGCATACATTGATTATCCAACTACCAGGTATGAAAAGCTCAAATTGCTTTTCCAAGTATTAATTGACTTAAAAAAAATTATATTATTATTTGTTATATATAGATTTAAATTTAGACTTGTGTATCCTAATCCATTCAGTGTCTCTGAATGAGTGGGAGAGTTATATTAGTCGCACTATAAAGTAACACGAGAGCTGTTGGCGACGGACCTCACAATTTTGAGCCACGGTTGAGTGATGAGGACGACACCTGAACTGGCTGATGTAAAAAAATCTATTTAAATAAATGAGTAATTTTCCTGTAAATTTGGCTTTCTGTGTGGCAGAAATCACTAGACTTTGGAATCAATTCATACTAACTATAAAAATAAAATCCCTAGTTTTTGTCTTGGATTACAAATTATATTTACATCTTATGCATTTACTTAATTATTATGAAATTATTATAGAAAATTTTTTTGATCGTATATGATAAATCTGAAAACATGGTACTGCACATAGCCCAACATCACAATTTGGATAGTAGAATCTTGTTTCTCTTCCCTTTATTGTCTCTCATTGAGCAGCAAATAATACGCTGTAGTGTGGGATTAGTTTTCTTCTCTATTGGAGGGCTGTAGTCAGCATAGTGCCTTTCAGACAAGCGTAGGGTGCTCAACAGAAGGACGTCCTTTTTTTGCAGAAAATTCCACTAAGGGGTACTTTTCAATTATTCGAAAGCATAAAATACACATGTGAAATAATTCGGGAAAGACCGATTACACAGTGTAATTTTTCACAGTGCCCGAGATCAGCTTGGAAAAAGCCGGAAAGGGGTCAAATGACTTATCTATTACAATTCAAAAGGATTCACTTAATCACTAAATCATTCCTCTTACAATATACTTATAAAAATATTACTTTCCACAAAACGAAGACCTTTTCATACAACAACTGGTTATAGTTTTAAAATCATAAAAACCTTTCTTTTTTTTTAAAACTTGGTTTCTAAATCATATATGACAGTTTTATGTTTTTACGAGTTCACAGTTACAGAGCTTCATTTACTCAAAAGACTTAGAGTAACAACTAGGAGGTTGGACGTACAAACTCGTAATTCCTCGGGGGAAGAAATTCGGAAGGGACTTGGATGAAATCAACTTGGGAGTTGGAAGAAGAGAGGAAGAAATAAACATCAAGAAAAGAAATTAAGGAGTCTTTTACTTCAATCAACCTGGGAGACAACAAAAGAAACAACAGATAAACAACTCGAAATGTACAAAAAGAATTAGGGTAGTTTTAGCAGAAGAAACTATTTGCAATTAAAACGCATCAGTATATTCATGCTTTATGGAAATAATGGTAGTGACGTTTCAACTAAAACGTTTTTCTTAATTATTTTTAATTTAAAACTTAACCCCTTAAGAGCGGTCCATTTTTTTTTTTTTTTCCCTAAATGTTTTTTTATTGCATAAAACTAGGCATAATACTTAACAAAATGCCAAAATATAGAAGAATTTTAATTTAATTTTCAATCTTAAAGTTTTCACACTATCTTTTTTTATAATGTGGAACACCAAAGAACCTCAATATATATATATATATGTAATAATTCCCTCTAGCATCCTTTTAATTAACTCCTTTTAAAAATATTTAAACAAGCTTTAATTCTTTGGTTCAAAATGCCTTTAATTTTTTTAAACGTAATCAACTAGTATCCAAATCCCTGTCCCCATTTTAACCAATCAGAGCTCTTATTCAAAACAGTCACGCGATTGTACGCTGGTATTAAACAAAAATCGGTCCTCTCTTTTTTTCTTTTATTCTCTTGTGAAATTGCTGCTGCTTTTGCTTTTGTTATATGTGCCTTTTTCGTGTTCTTACCGATAGATGTGAAATATTAATGATTGATTGTCTACGTTATGTGTGTGTGAATAAACAAGATGAAATTTAATTCTGAAGATGTTTCCTGTGAAATACTCTGGTAAATAAACGAATACAACAACACCGGTCAATGTCATTACATATACAATACATAATATAATATGTGTGCTTTTTATAAGAACACTCTGCATGCAATGAAGAATGTGTTTTATATATGTTAAAAGAATTTATCTGATACTCACAGAAAAATTCCAAACTCGTAACTTTTTTCAAACGTTTGAGGATTTTGTTCGTGTGTATATATATATATGCATACACACTTTGAAGCAGCGTGTAATACTTATATTGCAGTGGATTTTTGGATTATCTATCCATTTTCATTTGTTCTCAAGCAACAAGTTTTGAATTTTAAAACTCCCGCTTTATCAATTTTTCAAAAAACTAAAATTCCGCCCTTTGAAAAATTCCCGCCTTCAACACAAAGAGAATCCCGGATGAAAAGTATTTCAGTATCATAGACAAATTTTTTGTGTGCTTCTCTTAAAAACACACTAGTACTAATAATATTACTATAAGAATTTAAAATATATGCAAATCACAAAGATAGAAGGGAAAAAATTAATTCTCGTACAGCGTACAGGCAAACTGGTTGTGACCAGCTTTCGGTAGCCCGCACGGTGTATAGGCAAATCATTTAAAGGGTTTATCGTTAGTACTATGTTTTGAAAAACTAAATAGTTTTCAAATGGAAAACTTACCCTTTTTTTCCATTTGTGTGGGAGGGGGCAAAAACCCTAAAATTAAGGAGAGGGGACATCTTATCAACATATGGTCAGATCTGACGCTAAAATCTAAATGTAAGCAAGATTTGTTCCTAAATTTTAGATTGCAAATTCATACAAAATACACAGGCTGTTTCACACGGCTATTCACATTTTAATGACATTCGAGAAATGTATTTAAAAGAAAAATAGCTCTCAACGTGAGTAGCTACAAAAATAAGAATATAAACAAATTAAACGCAGCATATGAAATGAGATTGCAGATAATTTCAAAAGATATATAATTCGACAGTTAGTGTAAAATGCAAGTACATGTCCCAGTATCTAAATTTAATGCATGGGTAGGTGACAGTTGGGTCACAAATTAATATTATTAATGAGTAAATTATATTACAATCGCATTAAAATTTTTAAATAACATATACAGTACTTTTTTTAAGGTACCCGACTATTGGAATCGTGTTTTTGAAAGGGGATAAATGGAATTTTTTATGATTTTTAAACCACTTAGATTGAATAAGAAAATTTTTGTTTAAAAAATTTTTTAAAAAAAAATATTTTAAATAAATTTTTTGACAAAAATTTAACTTAGAATAATTTTTTTTTAAAATTTTCCCTTTTTTGAAAAATGCTTCATTATAATAATATTTTTCCTGATATCCGACCTCTTAAAAATCAACTAAATTTTGAAATTATATAACTTAGAAGGAGCATCCAGTGTTACGACAACAGAGGAGAAAATTTTGGGAAAAAAAAACCCATAATTATTTTAATTGGGGTTTTAACTTGAAAAAATGTGAATTTTTAAAAAACATAGTTGAGCCTTTTTCCGGAATCTGGGCTTTTACAAACAAAAAAATTATTATTTTAAAACATTTTTTTAAAAAAGGAGAACTTTTTAAAAGGGTATTCTAAATTACTTTTTTTTCCCAAAACTTGTATTTAAAAAAATTTTTTTTTCAAAACCTTATAAAATAATTTTTTACATGAGTTTAACTGTTAAGCTAAAAAATTTGAAAATTATCCATTTATCCCTTTTAAAATCAGGGTTTCCCGAACGTAATCAAACTTTAAGGGGTTCTTTAATTTTTCCCTTTATAACATGTTGATTTATTTAAATCATTTTGAGAACATGTCTTATTCGGAACGGGGGTTTCCCAAATACACCTTATAGATCTAAAATTTTCCATTAGTCGAAAAAGTTTGAAAACCACTAATTGGAATCCTTCGAAACTTTTTTTTTTTTTTTTCCTTTTTTTTTTTCTTTTGTTTTCCTTTTTTTTAAAATAGTTTGATTAAAGTTTAAAATAATATAAAAAAGTTTTTCCAGTTGAATCCATTTATACAAAATATTCAATTACATAGAAAATGGAGTTTTGTTTCAAATACCGATGTCTTTTTAGAGATCCATTTGAAATATTTGAAACACATTAGATCTGTCTTTCAAACTATCTCTTTTCAGATACTTCCAGAAATAGAAAATTAATTTCAAATACTTGAATACTTCAAATAGATGCTTTTATTTAATAAGTATGGAATTATCTTCTTTCCTGAGATACAGTTTTTATAAAATAAAAAAAAATACAATTTTTGAAAAGTAATAACTAAAATACTTGCTTTTGAAACATTTTAAAGCTTTATATATACCCCCTTTATTTTTGAAGCTTAAAAAAACAATTTTAAAAAGAACTAACATATTAAATTAATAATTATACAATTTTGAAGTTAGTATGAGTTATTTCGGAGAATTTCAAATATCCTTTCAAATTCTAAGAAGGAATAAAAATAAAGATATAAAAATAAGTATCATAAAATCTTTCTTATGAAAAAAATTTTTTGAAATTGTGATTACTTCTCTTTATTTTAACACAAAGAATCTATCTTTAATCATATTTTTTTTAGATATTTTTTAAAACAGCCGTTTATGAAGTTTATAATCATGGTCTTTAAAATCATAAACAAGTAATATAAGAACAAAAATTAAGTCAATTCTTACTTAGGTCAACACAGAAAAATTTACATTTTGGTGGTACTTTGTAGTATTAAATAATTTAATTCATATAAATATGTATGCGTATGACAAAATCAAATATTAAGAGTGGCAAGTAAAAGCAGAAATTCCATACAATTTTTGTTTCCTTTTTGTATATGGTGTTGGATTATTATTTTTGTGTTTCTTACTTTTTATTCATTAATTAAGTTTAATTATTTGAATAAAATAGCATCGTAAAAAGAAAGCACATTCACAGAAATCAGGCCATCCCAGGTGGGACTTTAACCCACGACCTTTGAATCAGAAGTCCAACACGCTATCCATTACGCTACAAGTTCACAACGAGTAATTTTCCTTTTTATATATATGGTGTTGGACTATTACTTCTGTTTGTTACTAACATTCCATTTTTAGTTTGTGTGAACTTAATATTTCAAAAATTGTATTAACATCAAGTGCCATCCACTACACATTTTAAAAAATGTATTTTAACTTGAGTGGATGAATAAAAAGTATTTTATTAACGATTGAAAATTTGAACAAGATATATATCAATAAACAAATATATATAGGGAGAGTATGAACTAATAGTAGAAATTGAAAATTAATATATCATTTATATTTTGTACTCGAAAGTTGATTCCAAAAATGTTGCTACAAACTACAAAATCAATTATTTCTTAATTTTTCACATCTTAAACGGTTTTCTTTTCTTTTCTTTTTTTCTGGAACACGAAATTGCATCCATTCTGCTGAATGCCTAAATTTTAGAAGCAAAATGTTATCTGTAACAGGCATTTTCATCTCTTTCTCAGTATCGCAAGTGGTATTTAAATTTGATGCTTCAGAACTCTTGTCAAGGTTTGTGAGAATTCAATAATCATAAATCTAGCTTTCGTAATTTCTATTACTCGAATCATTATATCTCCACGTACAGTCCTTAGATCCATTCAAACACAATATCACTAAATGAGATTATCGTGCAAGATTCATCTGACTGATTCTCATCTCATACCCTTGGTTCCATTCTTATATAAAAACAACTCAAATGATTTTTGAAAAAAATAATAAAAGAAACGCCTACATTTAACTTGCATAAGCAGTGTAATCTATACACACTTCACTGACTATCCCGAACTTCATAGAATGTATGAGCAACTAAGAGGTTCGATAAGACAGAGAAGGATTTTATTGAGTTACGAAACCTCACAGTGTGTGTGTGTATTCAAATGTTTTTCTTTTTTTTTTCTCCTATCACTTAATGCTCGGTTGAGCTAATGAAATTCAAAATGGGTCATGTGTGCGGCTACGCAACAGAGATTCTTCGAAATAAATTCATCACGTCTGTGCGCGAAATTTTCCCTATTTTAAGAAGTACACTTATCATACATAGCACCCGCTTTCCCCTCTCCAAGATCAATTCGTTTTTCCTTGCACGATACAATTACTAGAGCGATAAACGTAAAATCACGATATTCCACTTCCAGACAACTAGAAAAATTTTTTTCCAGGAACTGTAAATAACCTGACATTTTGTTTTATTTTTTAACGACAACCATGTTTGCAAAAGGTAATGTCTCTACTTCAGACTTGCAAATTGAGGATTTGCTTCTTTTTGATTGTTGAACAGATTTAAAATCCCTTAAAATGGATTCCACGTTGTGATTACATATGTTGTGAGGTAAAGTCCTGAGGTATCACCTGTTTTCACACGAATGGAGTGTTATTACTATTCAGGAATAAATCGCGGTAAGGTGACTGACTACATGTGGAGCCGTGATTTAGCAAAAGCGTAAAAATGAATATTTTATTTTGATATTTAGTGTCACTTGGACTAAAATGATATAAAATTGTGTAAAGAATATTATTAAAATAAGTAATATGAAAAAAAAATTAAGTTAATTCCTACTTAGGTCAACAAAGATAAATTTTATTTTAGTTACTTTTCATTGAATAATTACAATTGATATAAATATGTATATATACTATAATAGAATCACAGCATTAAGTGACAAAATAGAAAGCGATTTTTCTTGCAATTTTCCATTCTATATATGTTGTTGGACTATTATTTTTTTGCTTTTTACTATTTATTCATTAATTAAATTTAATTATTCCAATAAAATAGTATAGTAAAATGAAATCGCATTCTCAAAAATTTGGCCATCCCAGGTGGTAAATGAACCCACGACCTTTGAATTAGAAGCTCAACACACTACCCATTCCACTACAGGGACACAACAAGCGATTTTTCTTTTTATATATGGTGTTAGACTATTATTTTTGTTTGTTAGAATTTATTCATTAATTAAATAGAATTAATGAATTAATAATTGAAACTACAAGTAAATAATGAATTTATTTTACCATTATTATTTTTTAAAAACATACATGACACCTTAACTGCCTTAACCCCGTCTGTAGCATATCTAATTTCCCATATCGAATGAATTTTTCCGCCTTCGATTCTAAGCCGCACCCGATTTTCTATAGTATTAACATTGGAAAAAAGTGAGGCTTCGATTCGAATAAATATGGTATATAAGTTGAACAAAAACTATAAAACCAAGATTTTCAATCTTTTTTTCAAACTGTCAATACAATTTGTGGAATAACGATTTTTTTAACAACTGATAAACATTTTAGTGACATATAAAGTTAGATAAAAGCCTACGCTGATAAGAATTATCTTTTCTTGTAAAGTAGAGGACTTGCTTGACCTCAAGAGAGTAATCTGTTTGATACTTGTGTATATTTACCAATCTTTTTAAAACAAGATATCAAAACTATAAAGTGAAAACACTTTAACGCCTAAATGGTGTAGTTATGCTGTTTCATGATTTTTAAAAAATGAGAAGCATATCTTAAGAATTTTTGAAGACTTAAGATATTTTTTAATTCTAAATAAAAATGAAGGACGTATTTGGAATCTCACTCATTTTCATATCTAAACGATAAGAAAAAAAATATATCAAACTCAATTAGTGTATTTACTCGAATCTGAGTCATCATCGATTCTAAGCCACACTCCAAATTCTCAAAATGATTTTGTGGAAAAATGTTGTCATCGAATCTAAACCGCACCCCGATTCTCTACACACTTCCGAGGAAAAGTATAAAAAATTGTGTAAAGTTAGGAAATTTTTTATGAGAAATAATAAGAATACATACATGACCCTATAGTTACTCTAACCGTCAGTATCATGTTTCGAAAATGGTTTGTCTCTGCCATGGTCACAGCTGACTTCAGAATGGGTGCCGGTATCGCCATTTTCCCTCTCGTGCCTTCCTTTCGTGCCATCCAATGCATTTGTCATGCAACATCTTTTAAAAGAATGCATAAAAGTAGAATGTAAAAAAATTTTAAATATTGTTGAACACTTATAAGCCAAAATTATATGATTTTATTTGCGCCATCGATGTATAGTTGTTTTATTCGAGTCAAATTTTCAGTGGCCATCTGCTCTGTTTCCGTTTTTATCTGCATATAAAATTGTCTCCTTTTCTTACTTACGTCATAGATCGTCTTCATTCTATTACCGCTATCTTTGATGTTTAGGTGATTAAAAAAGCCCATTCAAAAAAAATTTCTTAAATAGGAGCAGACAACGATGTTTAGGATAGAATTAATATTGGAGATAAACTACGGAATGGAATAAGTCACCAAAGCAAGTGGTCGGAATGGATGGTAACATTCATCATTTTGAAAGGGGTGGAAATTCAATTCCATCCCCATCCAACCAATATTCTGCCTTCGATTCTAAGCCGCACCAGATTTTCAGTTGTATTAACACTGGAAAATAGTGCGGCTTAGATTAGAGTAAATCCGTAATACAATACAATAATCCATTACAGTTAATGTTGTGTGTTATTTGATACGTTTAATCAAAAAAAATATTTAAAATAAAAAAATTTGAATTAGAAAAATTATGCAAGATATTGGAAGAGAGTTTGTAACAGAGGAAAAAAGAGTTCATTATAAAAATTCTCTCGTATCTTTCCTTTCAGTCAGGTGTTGCAGATATATTTGAAATATATCGAAATAGAAGCAACAATTTAATCTCTGAGTTGTAACAAAGAGGTCTCTAACACGGATTTTCTTCCTTTAAGATAGAACAACGCCATTCCAAAAATAAACGTCACTCCGAAGAGTATATAGTCCGCGACATAAATTATAACACAGATTATTAGAGAATAACAGATTTTTTGAGGGTGATATTGCCATTTTATTGTTATTTTCTGAATTATAGTTGCGTAACTATTCGAAAGTTACAAGATCCTGAGAACTTTTCTTTGGTAAGTTTGAGGGGAAGGGCATCTCATTTCATATAAGTAATAGTTAATTCGTACCCTTTAGCTTGTCCTGTTATTTACTCAACGTATTGATTACTCAAGTCTAACGTTTAAATGAATAAAAGTGTTAATTATTCAAAATATTTGCTAGTAATCATTTTGTGTTTCAATTTGATGGCTTCTCCATCCCTGTTGTGTTTGGACCCTCCCCCTAAGAACGCAAACGAACAGCGAGATCTCCTCCTCAACTAACATGAGGAGGAGGTATCACAACAGAGTTCTCAAAATTTATAATTGATTCATCCCTCACAAACATAGAAAGAATCATAGATATAACTCACCAAAACATCAAAAAAAATTTTTAAAGAAATAATAGTTATTTCAGGAAATGTCTGTGAGTATTTTATATTACTACAAACACTGTTTCAGATTAGCAAAATATTTGAAATTGTACCTGTATTATTTTTTCCCTCGCTTATTCATAAAAGATAAAAAGTAAACAAAAATGTCCTTCCCTGCAGTCAAAGAAAATTCTATGCCAGAAAAGGAAAAAGCTCATTTTGTTAAGAAATTCAGTTTGGAATGCCGACATTTTAAAGTGCCTCCATATAATTCCGCAGAGAATTAGGAAAGAAGACTAGTTTTCTTGCGAGTTCTTAAATTATCGGCTCAAAAGACTTAAGCAACAAATTATATGAAAAATCTTTTTTTTTTTCATCTGAAATAATGAGGGTATCAAAACTTATAGTTTTTATTTTCCTTAATTTCCAAATACTTCTAAACTTTTTTTTTACAGTGCATTCAATGAGAAACTCTTTTAAGTATTCTTGTTCAATTTAAACCCCTTCCCGGCTTTTCCCGAGCTGAGCTCTTGGCCCCTTCCGAGTGTAGATCGGGTGTTGTAGAAAGTTATGCAGCGCACTCGATCTTTCCTGAATTATTTCACATATGCTTTTTATGGCTTCGAATGCTTTTGCTTACTCTGCTATGTACTCTAGATGGTACTAATATACAATGTTTTCAGCTGTAGATTAGTGTAAGAAA